CTGCGTTAATAGGCACGCCTGTCCATTTTTTCACTTGAATGTTTGTGTTCGTATACAGGACAGGTGCTCTGTGTTTGTGAGGTAAGGTAGGTCTTCCGTTCTAAGTTATTTTCAAATTTAGTACTTTGAAAATTTTCTATTTGACAACTCAAACTACGTCAAATCAATCAGTAATTGTCAAATTAGCTAGTTTTTTTATCAGTGCCCTATATACTAATGCATATAATGTATCTTGACGTATCTATTTTTTATTATTTAATAAATAAAATTTACGTAAATTTAAAATATATTCAATTTTAATTTATTTTATTAATGTACTAAAAAGGTGCAGAATTTAGATGACAAAATAAATATAGAAGTTATAAAGGAATCACTCATAACTGTTTATTACGCAAAATTGTATGAAAAAGTTAACTCACTTTCCTCGAAGCATTTGTATGGAGACACTCTATCTATATAATTTAACGTTTCAACTAAGGAAGGTCAATATTTTTACTCATACAGTTGTAACTCTTTGGATTTTGGTGGGGAGTTTTTTTTTTTTTTTTTTATAGAACTTAGAATGGCAAACAAGCTGACGGCCCACCTGATGGAAAGTGGTAACCGTCGCCTATAGACATGAGCAGTACCATGGACATAACAGAGTATACTGTTTCGCCCATGATACCCCCCATGCGTTGCCATTCCTGAGGACTCAGGTGTTATTCCTAAACTATTTATAAACCGAAACACAGCCATGCAAACACAACTGCTTCACGGTTGAAACACGAATGGGACAGAGGTACCCATTCGTGTTACATTATAACATTACGTATTACATTAATTACGTCATAAATCTATATTTATGACGTAATTAATGTTTTTTTTTGATGGGTGAAAATAGAATGGTAACACCGTCTATGCTAATGGGATTAGTGACCAGTGAAGGGTGATAGATGAAAATAAAAACAGGCCAGTTAGGCTATTATGATGCTTATATATATTGCTAGCAATGGGATTCTCAGTCTCCATTACTAACAATCCCATTCCCCCCACGTAGTTAATGTTAAAGGTATTAATTATGTGCGCATATAGGCAATTGAGCATTATTTATTTATTTATTTATTTGAAAATTTCTCACTACACTTACAGTTTCCCAAAACGTGTAGTGAGCCAAAGTTTTATTTCACAAACTTACAAATTTTGTACAACATTTTAAAAATATACTTCTTTTGTAATTAAATATGTCAATATCTGGCTGCTGAGCAATCAGAGAATTGAGCAGAGAAATAGCCTGATACGTGGGAGCAAACTGAGCAGTACAGGTACGAACCGGCGCACAGTGGGAACTTTGACTCCTTTTCATCTCATAAATCTATAACTTCCGTATTAATAAAGATATGTACATGATTTTTTTTCCTGATAATCTTAAATATATATGCTTTTAAATTATGTATGCGTTGTGAGTAAAAATTTATTTCTAATAGTTATAAATAATATAGGAATACAAGAAATATAAAATTTGTAAGCTTACATTTATGTTCTAAGAAATTTATACAGGAATAAGTAAAAGTATCTGCGTAAAAAACAAAAACTCTTATAAAGATAACTTAGAAGTCACTCAAGAGCTCCTTTACTTCATCAAAAAGTTCTAAATATTTTTTATTGGAAGGTTTTCTTAAACTTGTTATGTATGGGTCAGAGGTATATAATAGTGCGTGTAGAACATCTTCGTTAGTGGCTACCCTCGAACATTGTCTTGCATGATGAAGCCTGAACTGTTTATAGTCTTTGTTCCGTGACTCTTGAGCATCTTCTGAAAGTTGCCCAAGAGGCAAGACAGAAAATTAACGTATCACACTTTCACAATGAATCAACACCATGTGATTTTGCGGATAGCAAGATTCTGTAACTTCACGAATCAACTTGTATGATGGAAACAATAAGCAATTCTTTGCTATCAAACAACTCATAATATTTTCTTACTGTGCCTTGTTCAGATCCAATTCTACAAAAATGCTAAGATCTTCATCTTTTGAATATGCTGTTATATGTGTCGGTTCATTAAGAAAATTACTGCGTATTTCACTCTTTTTTTCTGACGGCCATGCTCGTAAAATATCAACGATGAATGCTTCATCTACTTCACCATGTGACCTTAAACCCTGTACATATGAGTTCAGTATGAAATCAAGTCCATAGGTATCAAGCAGTCCCTTGTTTTTCCGTTTCTTTGTACTCTCTGAACTGTCATCGTATCTTTTAGAAGGTCTTCCTCTTTTCTCTGTCGAAGTAGAAGGTTCAGGTTCGCATGTTGTTTTTTCTAGATTTACAGTGAAAATGACATTAAACCAATTGCTATTTTGATTTAAAAACTGTTCTTTCTTTCGACCACATTTCGTATAGCGTTGACGAAACTGAGTTATGAAGGACTTCTAAATACTTGCGATAATTTTTGCTATATTCGTATCTGAAGATTCAGTAATATTATTTCGTACATAGTTTGAGATATAATCAATATAATTTGTATCACTTTCAACAATAAGAGACTTAAGTCGCGTCCGGTACACGAGACTTCACTCATTGCGGAGAGATAAGTAATTAACAATTGTTTAGAAATGACAAATGCTTATAAAGAACTGTAATATTTCATATGTAAATGCACTATTTTATACTTAATAATGATCATAGACGTGTGCAAAATTACTTGATTTAAAAAATTCATCATTATGCGGTTATGCGGTAAAGAATAGGTCTGTATGGAAATAGGAACTAAATACTGTGTGAAATACTTGTTAAAAGTAACGCAAAAGATAAAATATAAAGTAATAATTGAGACAAAAGTATTTTTTTAAGTGTCCAGACAGAGAATCTCAAATAAAGAAAAAAATCTTAATATACGTACTTAGAAAAAAACATTCTCACCATGATATTATACTAGATTTAAATATATTACGCAGTAAAACTGCAAAAAAAAATCTTTTGCCCTCAAATTACATTATATTTCCTAATAAATTAAACCAAAATCAGAACTTCGGCAAGCTTCGGCAACTGTCAAATCTCCAACTGAAAGTTTGAGAAAAGAAAATAATACATATAACGATATATGGTTCTTTGGTTAAGTAATATTGTACTAAACTAAATATATTTTTATTTTATAGTAAAGTACACATTCTAAGCATTTTAAAATGGTATCACACTATATGACTTCTATTGTTTTGATACTATAAAATTATACCAAACGAAATTTAAGTTTCATAATTATTTTTGTATTTTTTTCATTCCTTGACTTTAGATGCTCTGTTCTATGAAGTATGAACAGTGACAGATTTGAATCATACTTATAATGATAGAATAACTCTTTAGCTACAATTTGAGGTATTATACATGCATATCCACAGAGTTTTAGAAAAAGTATTTATGAGATGGCTTTCTTAGGAGAGTTCCCACTGTGCAGCGGTGCCGATAGTAGTCTACAAGCACGCAATCGCATGCAGCGTTGGGGTGCGTACAAAGAACAACGGCTAAGAGTTGCAGGATTGTCTATTCCGCCGTTGAGCAACTGATAATAGTGCATCATCAAATTGCACTTTCGCCTTACCTCGAGCGTGTCTAGACCTACCATTCCGGATACGAACAGTGATGGGTACAAATAAGGATAGTAGTAGTAATAGATATTAGAGATTTCCTATCCATTATAATTACATGCTTATCTTGAAGACTTATAATTGCATTTTATTTATATTTGATATTTTATTCACAAAAACATTCATTAAATATTCTCAAAGACTAAGTAAGTATTAATATAAGCAGGAAGATTAAATTTAATTTCTATAAAGCACCGTCTTTCCGTCAAGAAAAATAAAGCAAAAAGAACGAAGACATTTAGACGAAATAATGTCGTACTCCGTTACTAGATGGCGCAAAAACAGAAATTCCATAAATCATAATAAAGAAATATCAGAAATAAATATTTCGCTTTTTGATACTATTAAAAGTAGATTACTATATTAAAGATATAATAATTAATTCAAAAAAAAATATATTTTTTATATTGGATATTTAATAACTTGTTATAATAGAATTATTCACTACATTAGTAACTTACCCAGTCATCTTGTTATATATAGGTATATATTGATAATTGTCATTTTTCTTTAAATGTATATGTAGATTTCGGCCAGATGATTCATCATTCTTATAAGGTTCTAAGAAATAAAATATGAAATGTTAAGAGAAATGTATTTATTTGGCAATACTAATGCATAATGTATTAATGTATTTTTCTAATTATATTTACATAAACATATGTATAAGTACATAATTGGCAGATCTTAAGTATTTTACACTTTTTGCATTGAATTTTATTTATTTATTGGTACATCAAAAGTTTATTACATTATTTACAAAATTCTATTAAAATTTCTATTATATTAGAGGTAACTTATAAAAATATTATAAATGTAAAATATTTTATTCATTTAGGTGAGCTCATAGATGTAAAAGTGCTATGAATTCCCATATAAAAATTACATTAAAAAATGTCGTAATTTATATAAAAAATATATCATAAAACTGGCTATGTATATATATTTAATATAAAAAAATCCTGTATTACTCTCTGAAACCGTTGAATTGACTTTTTTTATACTACTTAGAATGGCAAACAAGCTGTATGTATATAATGTACAATATACATCAATTATTTCAATATTTTTATATAATATTATGTCGGAACCAGTAATTTTTTGTTTTTGTAAACCAGTCTATATTCTTCTATTTTCCTTTTTTTTATTGTTGGTGTAGGAACTAAACAAATTGTGTTGGTATCATCACAGAAACATAATCTATTAATATTATAAAGTATTGAATTAATTAATCGTTTTTTTTTTTATTTTTACTATTGTTGGAGGATTATTAGGACATTAGTATTAGGGGTGGGTACATCTTTTCATTAAGTTATATTGAGACTGTATGGTATAGAATATGGTAGGTCACGGTGATGGCAAGAAAACGAAGACTTTAACAATTGGATTTTATTTTCGATTTTATTTTCGTTAATTACAGGTAATAAATAGACGTGTGGTGTCGATCGTATCTAGGTGTAGACTGGGCGTGGCGTCCGTTGCGGCGATTATAAGTTTAAAAACGACCGCACGCAGAGACAATGACATAGACAAACTATTTTATTAATAATTGAGTTTTGAGGCACAGAACGCGTCGCTTACAGAGACCGTGTCGCGTTTGTAAAAATTATGATTTATGTAAAACACGGTTTGTGTCCGTAGCTAATGCGTTATTGTGACGGATTGTGTCCGTCATTGGTGACGGTCAAATGAGCCCTCCGACACAAATGTTCAACGGAACATGGCAGAATTAATTACGTATCACAGACGGCAATGTCTACCTACCTACTTTACAAATTGTATTTATATATATAAAATTTTTTAATTTTTTTTTATACCACAAAAGTGGCAAATAAGCAGTCTTAGATTATGTAGATAGAGCATCCAGTCTCAAAAACGGGTCAACTATTTATCAGTTATTGTCAAATTAGCTGACTCGTTCTTTTATCAGTGCCATATATACTTACGCACATAATGTATCTTGACGTATCTATATTTAATTGTTTAATAAATAAAATGAGTTTTAACACATTCAAAAGATGCAAAAATTATAATACAAAATAAATATAAAAGTTATAAAGGAAACACTTATGACTATTTATCACGTAAAATTGTATGAAAAAGTTGACCCGCTTTTCTTGAAGTTTTTGTATGGAGACTTTCTATCTATATAAGCTAATCATACAGTATACGTACGTATGTATCTTTGATAAATCCTAAATTCGTCCTATATCATCATATTAACCGTTAACTGTCGGGGGGAAAGGGATTGTTAGTAATGGAGACTGAGAATCCCATTGCTAGCAATATACCCAACCAGGTCGACCTCCACGCGGTTCTCCCTGGAAACTATCATGGTTAATTCCTGATGAATTCATCATGAGGGGCTAACTGGCCTGTTTTCATTCTCATCTATCATTCTTCACTGGTGCTCCGCCAGCGTATCCCGTTAGCGCAGGTGGGATTACCATACCATTTTCACCCATCAAAAAAAAACCGTTAACTTTCCACTGCTGGGGGGAAAGGAATTGTTACCAATGGAGTTTGACAGCCCCATTGCTAGCAATATGCTCTATTAGGTCGACCTCCACGTGGTTCCCCCTTGAAACCATCGTAAACAATTCTTGTAGAATTGGTCACGATAAGCTAACTGAACTGCTTCATCCTCACCTATCATCCTTCACTGGTGCCCCGCTGGTGTATACCGATAGCGCGGGCGGGGTTACCGTTCCATTATCATCTATTGGAAAAAAAGATAATGGCTGGCATGATGACGTTGATGAATTGCAAGCTTTAGAATCCTAAGAGTCATTTTAAACACTTATTACATACAATTTGTACCTAATAAAGGAATCAATTTTATTGACTCCACTTATAAACTAGTTAAGTACATTTTTCCATCGCTACATTCCAGTTTTTATGTTACAGATCTTGTAGAACTCTTCTTCAGGTAGAAGGAACTTCTTCGTCATCTCTTCGAATCTGCTGAAGTCGCAGTAGTGGTCGGCTTCGCAGCCTTCGAAGTACATAAGTTTAGCTGTCGACTCTCCCGCTTGTGGCAGATATACGGGCTGAAAATAAACCGTTTAGCTGTATATTAAATGTAAATAATATAAAATTAAATTATTTCTTTCATTTGATTTCCACTCACGTAAAACAGGGGTTAAAAAAGAGGCAAAATGCTGGGCCACCTTATACGACATGACAATTTTTTAAGAGCATAGTAAAAGGAAAAATAGAAGGCAGAATAGGAAGACCAAGGAATAACTGCATGGGACAGATTAAAGAAACACTAGGTGTCATGTCGTATAGGGAGGTCAAGGATATGTCCTGGGATAGAGCTGGCTGGAAGAAGATGCATGAGTTAGTTGCACCGACAAGAAGAAACTCTTGAATGAAAAGAGAAAACAGGGGCTACTGTGGAATGAAAATTTCGAATTTTCGACTCATTTTCATGTTTTTCAAGTTCAAGTTCATACTGAAATCGGTTCAGTAAATGGAGCTTAATATTTCTTCCGTCATAAATCCTTCCATAAAAGTCCAAATAAATGATATTTTAACATTTATAATATTTTTAAACGGTATTATATTAGGTAAATTTTAACATCATATTTGTGTTTCGTTCGACTTCGAAATTTTGGCAAATATTTTATGATAAACCCTTCGCAGAGCACACAAATACTCAAAAAACTCACCAGCACGCTGAGATCTCCTTTGCTCCTCGATTTGTAGAGCTCCAGCGCGAATACAGACCCGTATTCCGGTATGCTCTGGTTACTCTTCACCTTGGACACTTCCATTAGAGCACCCACATTGAAATCATGCGAGGAGAACAATCTCAACCTGTGTGATACTGGTCTTCCAGCTGATATATCCTTGGCAGCTTCCACAAATATATTAAGGAGAGTACCTGAAAGAATGTTTTTATGCAACTTAGAATGGCAAGCAAGCTGACGGCCCACCTGATGAAAAGTGGCAACTGTCGCCTATAGACATGAGCAGTACCATGAACATAACAGAGTTTACTGTTTCGCCCATGATACCCACCATGCGTTGGCATTCCTGAGGACTCAGGTGTTATTCTCATATTCCTCTGTACCCTATAAATTCACGCCATATCCCACCCTTCAAACCGAAACACAGCCATGCAAACACAACTGCTTCACGGTAGAAACACGAATGTATGTTAATAGAGGTGCTCAAGCAAACTATGTATGTTTGAGCGTCTATGAGTGCATGCATGCGTGTGTGTGTTAGGTGTTAGATTTGTTTCTAATATTAGTTACTTTTTTTTTTAAATCTTTTTTTGTTTTGTATTTTTGTATATTAATTAATGTTACATGCCTGCATTATAGACCGAAATATGTGATTCTTATAATCGTATTGTATGCTATATTACGTAGAATATTTAATTTCGAAAAAAATACACAATCTGGCAATACAGATTTTAAGTTATATAATTAATAATAATAGAATAATAATATTTATTAAATCCAAAAATACATGTTTTAATTTTACATTTATTCCCAAATTCGAACTCACAATAATCGAATCGAATTCGAACTCACAATTAAAACTATTATAAGTATATATATGTATATTCATATATTTGTGTGTATTATTATTATTTATTTGCGTCTATTTATGCAATATTATAAGTATTTTTTTATTACGCAAGTAAAAGTATGTATATACATATATATAAAATGTATGTATGTATATATAAAATATGTATATTGTTTAGACTGCGTTTAAATTTATTTTAAGCCCTTTTTTCTCCCTTTTCAGTTTTATTATTTTACTGTTACGCCTTGACCAAATATAATTTTAATTATTCCTCTCCATCCTAACGTTGCCTAAAAGAGATCACTATTTAGCAATAGGTCCACCCCTTGTTGCCACTTTATCTTGCTTTTATGTAATTAATTATTCATTTTGTTTGTGTACATATTGTTATTCTTTATAATCTGTATCATTCTTTGATGGTTTTCATTCATTCATTCATGAAAGGACCTTACCACCGCCAATTTTTTTCATTTCATCAGTTCTGAAGTAAAGTCTGTACGCGAGTCTGGCGGCTTCACTGAGTCTAGGCAGTAACGGTTTGCTCCATTCCGGTATGTCTAGACCTAGACCGACCTGAAAGTAGCAAATGAGTGGTTCACCTTGGTGCTTAATAACTTTGAAAGTGTTTGCCATTCTAGAATTAGTGAATGTTCGTGTGTTTAGGGTATGTTTAAATATTAATTTCAATCTAGAAATGTATTGTTAAATGGAAATCCCATCTTCATAGCTTACCATAAGGAATGGTCCTAAACCACCTTCATCTACTGATAACCTGTAACACATAGGTTACCTTTCCATCTACAGTCCACTTTGGGGATAAAGAGTTTGTTAGTAATAGTTAAATATTAGGATGAATTATTATATATTTAATAAGTAATTATTAAATATATAATAATTCATCCTTACCTATCATCTATCACTGGTGTCCCGCCAATATATACCAATATTGTAGGCGGTGTTACAACATTTTCACACATAAAAAAATCTACAATCCATTTCAATAGAACTTACTGAAATTGTAAATAAACAAATAATATATCTAATTGACTGTTTTATCAATTTTATTGTCTTATCTATACTTATAGTAAATCTATAGAGAGGTTAATTCTGTACATGAAATATATTTCCAAAATAACTATCAGCGGGTGATTAGTGATCGATACTGATGCCAAAAATGCAATCAGCAAAATTTTTGTCTGTCTGTCTGTCTGTATGTTCGTTATAGAAGCAACAACTACTCGACGGATTTTAAAGAAACTTGGTACAATTATTCTTCATACTCCTGGGCAGGTTATAGTATACTTTTCATCACGCTACAATCAATAGGAGCAGAGTAGTGAAGGGAAATGTGTCTTTTACATCAAAACCACTGAACCGTGAGGAAGGACATAGGTATACTTATTTTACGAAAAACGACGGAAACGCGGCCGAAGTCGCGGGCAACAGCTAGTATTATTATAAGACTGTTTATGTCTAACTATAAAATGTTTCAATGTATTGAATAATAACTATCGTGCCTATTTCATTCCGTAGGTGTCGTGAGAGGCGACTAAGGGAATTAAATGATAGAGAGATGGGTACCACAGTCCCTTTTTAAACGCCACCAATAGCCTATAACCAATAACCAATAGCCTGTACGCCAAGCATGGCAACTATTGGCAAAACCGATTTCGATAAAATTTTTATAAGACCAATTAATAAATGTATTCTTTGAGATGAAAAAATAATTCTTCATAATGGTTCATAGTTGACGAAGTTATAAAATTTTATGAACATACAACCAAAATTTATTTGAATTTTTTTTATACAACTTAGAATGGCAAACAAGCTGACAGCCCACCTGATGCAAAGCGGTAACCGTCGCCTATGGACATAAGCAGTATCATGGACATAACAGAGTATACTGTTTCGCCCATGATACCCCCATGCGTTGCAATTCCTGAGGACTCAGGTGTTATTCCTCTGTACCCAGTAAATTTACGCCATATCCCACCCTTCAAACCGAAACACAGCCATACAAACACAGCTGCTTCACGGTTGAAACACGAATGGGACAGAGGTACCCAAGCAATCGACTTTTGTACAAAGTCTCTGGTCATTTGAAAATAAGCAAATATTACGATAAAAAATAACCAATAATTACCTGACTGCGAAACAAATCGAATAGGGTCTCATACAAAAGTACATTTTCGGTAAAGTTCTGTCCAGTCCGCGTTTTCAACATGTGTGTTAAGTCTTTGTACTGCTCGAACTCTTGATGTACAGCTTCTTCTTTAGCTGCCGTCATTAAGTTGCGGAACTTCTCGCAGTTTGTGTAGTAGCGGAGCTGAAAATAACAAGCTATTGCAGTGGGGTTTGTTAGTATTGGGGACTAGCGGCCCCGTAGTCAGCAAATGTACCCTGTCAGATCGACCACGAGGTCACCTTGTAAATGTTTTTTTTTTTATACAACTTAGAATGGCATACAAGCTGACGGTCCACCTGATAGAAAATGGTAACCGTCGCCTATAGACATGAGCAGTACCATGGACATAACAGTGTATATTGTTTCGCTCATGATACCCCCCGTGCGTTGCCATTCCTGAGGACTCAGGTGTTATTCCTCTGTACCCTGTAAATTCACGCCATATCCCACTCTTCAAACCAAAACACAGCCATGCAAACACAGCTGCTTTACGGTTGAAACACGAGTGGGACAGAGGTGTCCAAGCAAGCGACAAACCATTATATATATCATCAAAAGACGAAAGTAAAGCACAGTTTTGGTGTAGGCATATGAATAAATATCCAGGTAGAACTGACAGTTGTGAATTTTTTTTATACAACTTAGAATGGCAAACAAGCTGACGGTCCACCTGATGGAAAGTGGTAACCGTCGCCTATAGACATGAGCAGTACCATGAACATAACAGAGTATACTGTTTCGCCCATGATACCCTCCATGCGTTGCCTTTTCTGAGGACTCGGGTGTTATTCCTCTGTACCCAGTAAATTCATAATTATAACATTATGACAGCAAAAGCCAAATTAATATATATATATATATATATATATATATATATATATATATATATATATATATATATATATATATATATATATATATATATATATATATATATATATATATATATATATATATATATATATATATATATATATATATATATAATATAAACTTCTCTGTGTCTGTGTTATTATAATAATTATAATAAAAGTATATTTATTATAATTATTATAATAAAATGTAATTGTTCTTATTTCTCGTCATTGTGAACTCATAAATCCACTCTCTTATCAAATGTCCATTACAAGTTCAAGTCATTATGTAACCGGATCGATGCAGATTGCCATGATGTAATTCTCATTACGTGTATGAGCTAAAAAGGCCACTTCAGTGATTCATCGTCATAACAAACAGCAATGTACAGTAAAGTGGCTATTTTAGGTCTGTTTTAAATGTGTTTTATGACAGCCGTACTTATGCATGAAGGTTAAAGAGTAAAATTATATGTAATTTTTTAATAGTGGTCATAAACTTTTATTATTTAAATTATTATAAATAATAATTTAAAAATAGTTTAGCACTTAAACATTCAAAGTAGTAATGTTATCTCTTTTATGTATTTTCCTTTTGTTTTTTTTTTAAGTATGCACCAATATCTGATGTTATTTGTGTGCTGTGAATGATACAAAGTTTTTTCTGCAACTTAGAATGGCAAACAAGCTGACGGCCCACCTGATGGAAAGTGATAACGGTCACTTATAGACATGAGCAGTACCATGGACATAACAGAGTATACTGTTTCGCCCATGATACCCCCATGCGTTGGCATTCCTGAGGACTCAGGTGTTATTCCTCTGTACCCTGTACATTTACTGCTATAATCCTACCCTTCAAGCCGAAACACAGGTATGCAAACACAACTGCTTCACAGTTGAAACACGAATGGGTCAGAGGTGCCCATATATAATTTATCAGAGGAAGACTTTGTACAAAACGCAGGGGCGGCCGGTCGTAAAACTATAGGGATAAGGGTGGGACAGGGAGAGAAACCGGCGTACAATGTGGGCAGTATCTAAGAGCACCGCTTTTTGCATCTTTCCCCGGAGTGAGCCGCCTCGGAATTCCAACCGTCTGAGATGTTGTTCCAGTCCGGTTGGGAAAAGATTATTAATATAATATAAATAAAATGTATTTCGCAAAAGAAACTGACTACAGTTGTTGCAAAACCAGTTATTTTGATTTAAAAACTAAACTACGGAACCGGTTTTGATAAAAATTCTATAGAATTATTCTGTAAGTATATCCTTTCGATAAAAAAAAAATCCAAATAAGTTTACAACTGACAGGATTATAAGGTAACAAAACATACAACGAATGGAAAACTTCCTTCTTTTTAAAAAGTCGGTTGATAATATATATATATATATACAACTTTCTAGAGGTGATATTTTTTTTAATTCGGTTGAATAGTTTTGGAGTTTATACATTACAAACAAATAAAGAAACAATCGAAGATTTCCGCTTTATAATATTAGTATAGATACTCAATTTAACATTTGCAAAAGAATACACTTGGCCGTGTGGTCCCGGCATAGAATAGGCCACACCTTCCTTGCCTCTGGGTATGGTAAGAGGCGACTAAAGGAATTTAATAACAGAGAAATGGACAGCAACGTATTTCTTAAAACATCTCTAAAAACCTAACTGCGGTTGCCAACCCATTTACCAAGCGTGGCAACTATTGGCAAAACTCCCCTTATGGGGAAGGCTTAAGTTCAGCAGTGGACAGTTAACGGCTTAAATGATCAATTATGATAAGGACAAACTAACTAAAAATCTGGATAAAAACAAACAAACAAAAACAGTTGAGTTTCTTGCCAGTTCTTCTTGACTGAATTTGCTTGTGGAACTGAATGGTAGTGTAAAAAAATGGACGTACAAAAAATGACAAAAAAGTACCGTATAAATTAATGGTTTTAACAAAAACAATACTGGAGGTAACCGTATTGATTGCATAGAGTAAAGAGGAATGTTTAGAATTGACCAGTATATCGTGTCACAGACAAAAAACTAGCGGCCCGTTCCGGCTTCGCACGGGTGGACATTTTTACAACATTTTAAAAAGTGTTTATTGTGACATAACGATAATAGTTGGACATATAGTATCGCGAAGTTTTTTGTAGCAATTGATATTTTCTTCAATATTGTAGAACATACTTTTGTTCCATCACCAATAGTTTCTGCAACGCAAGAAATTCGCAAAGTATTTTGAAATCGGCAAAGTAGTTTTTGAGTTTATTCATTACAAACATACACACAAAATAACATATTTTCCTCTTTACATCTACACTAATAGTGTAGATATAGAGACGAATAGAGAAAATTCCTCCTTTTGAAATGCAACTATAAATTAAAACCAACTTTATAAATGTAAACGTGATTTTGGTTGTTGTCTCTTAGCGTATTAACGACTGAAGCAACCTTTATGAAATTTGGTATACACGTAATATACGGGATGGAGAAGAATATAAGATTTTTTATTTATTTATTTTTTTATGCAACTTATATTACTTCTAAGTTGTATAAAAAAATAGTACAAATATGTGTACATGGCGGACTTAATGCTAAAAGCATTTTCTCCCAGTCAACCATAGGGAAGTGTTAGAATACTCGAATGTGGTACTAGTAATTATTGATATACATACATACTAAAATTACATATATAAATGAATATATATATATATATATATATATATATATATATATATTTAATATATATAAAATATACTTATACATAAATAACATATACTATATTATACACGAAATTGAGAATAATATAAAGTACTTTTATAATATAAAGTTTAGTTTTTAAATGAAAATAACTGTTTTAGCTGCAACTGAAATCGATTTCTCTTTGTGGATCACAATCATACATTAGGCTGTGTGACTTCATAACTTCAAAATGTGTGTAATAGCTTTATAATTACAAACTCTCATAAACTTGTATAATCGAAAGTAATCCTTGATCTTTACATGTTAAACAAACAGGTTTTACGCCGTTGAGGTCATCTTTACGTTATTAAAATAAAATAAAAAAAAAAAAAATTCAAAGGTATTATTTAACGATTCACCAATGAGATGCAAAAAGTGCAACGTATCCAAACGAGGTCACGGACAAGGGTAATGATGCGCGAAACATGATGAGTATATAAAAAAAGAACAGATCAATTATTACATCTCATATTTTAAGTTTTTTTTTCTGCAAAAAAGGCAATAACTTCAACAATTATAGTAAAACCAGTTATTTAGATATAGTCGATTTAGAAGCTTGATTTTTTTTTTTAACTTTTTTAAGAGATTGCAGATCTGATATTATATATGATATTAATTTTACTTTGATACCTGTGAAGGTATCAAGTTAAAATTAAATTAACATGTGTGTGTTCCACAGAAAAAGGGTCTAGACAGACGGACTGACGGACGGATAAAGAAGTGATTCTATAAGAGTTCCGTTGTTGCATTGCAGTGTCCCAGTCCTTTCCGCAACTGCAGTGCCCCCCCTTTTTCATTCCCATATAAGTCCCTTATTCTTTTTATTTACCAATTTTCGCCGACCCCTTTTTATAATAATTGAGATACGGGTAGGAAGAAGAAGTAGAAACGCGACAAAAGCAAGGCAATGATATATCATTTTGTCAAGTTATTTATACAACCAAATTTTAAATTGTTATTTTCTAGTAATATATATATATACTCGTATATATTACTTTATTCTGTATCTAAATAATAGTTACATCAGGCAGATCAAGGAAGGAGTTGGTGTCGTGTCGTATCAAGAGGTGAAGAGACTCGCTGAAAATCGTAGTGAGTGGCAAGAGCTCCACCGACAAGAGCTCTTAAATAGGATAGATAGATAGATAGTTATGTCCATAGTACTGTTCATGTCTATAGGCGACGGTTACCACTTTACATCAGGTGGGCCGTCAGCTTGTTTGCCATTCTAAGTTGTATAAAAAAAAGAGATAGATATCTAAATTATGTACTTCTAATTTAGTCATTTATATATCTTCACGCTAGGTTGCTTACAGGGTGAATAGAGACAAGCAACTAACTACTAACTTCCTTTGTCCTTACATACTCGTAATTATCTCTCGCTTCGTACATTTTCATAATGGAATTATTACGCTGTTCAATAAAATTTGTTGGAAATGTGTAGTAATGAAATCTGACGTTGTGTAACACTGAACTTCAGTCAATATTCTTAGTGGAATAACAACTATTTTAATTCTTTATGGACACAATGAAATTAATTCAGAGTGGATCCAGTAAAGTTGTTTGTTTGAGTACTTCTGTCGCATCTTGTTTCTATCGTGAAGCAGTTGTTTGCATGGCTGTGTTTCGGTTTGAAGGGTGGCATATGGCAGTGAATTTACAGGGTACAGAGGAATAATACCTGCGTCCTCAGAAATGGCATCGCATGGAGGTATCATGGGCGAAACAGTATACTCTGTTATGTCCATGGTACTGCTCATGTCTATAGGCGACGGTTACCATTTTCCGTCAGGTGGGCCGTCAGCTTGTTTGCCATTCTAAGTTGTATAAAAAAAAAATATTTCTATCTATCTATTGGTGTAAAGCCAGAGCGAATCGTTAGTAATATATATATTTAATATATTTATTATTAGTAAACCCACAGGAGTGACGATTTTATATGGTATTTTTATGATACTTACAAAATCTTCAGACAATGGCAGGGCGTGGTACGGAACTGGTTGCCAAACTTTGCCGACACCTTCATCCCACTGCTGCTCAGTTTCCGGGGGGTAGGCAGCCGCCATAGCGACCTGAATGGTCATCTTCGTCCGGTCCTTATCGGTACTCCTGATTGATATCTCATCAGGGAGGTACAGGTTGGATACCAAGTTCTGCCCTTGCGATCCGTATCGTTGACGAATGAATTTCCCGATCTGGTACGCCCTTCGTTTACCTAGCTGGATATAAATATTTATTTATTTATTTACTACCTTATTGCTTTTTTTTAATGGGTGATAATAGAATGGTAACCCCACCCGCGCTATCGGTATACACCGGCGGGGCACCAGTGAATGATGACAGGTGAGGATGAAGCAGGTCAGTTATCCTTATTAGTATTGTATAAAGAAATAAATTATTATTTCTTTATTTTTTTTTTTTTTACAACACTGGGGGCAAACGAGCATGCGGCTCACCTGATGGTAAGTGACTACTGCCGCCCATGATCACCCACAACACTAACGGCATTGCAGGTGTGCTGCCGTCCTTTTAAAAAGGAATATGCTCTTTTCTTGAAGGTTATGTTGGTTGGTATCTTCTGTTAAGCAAAGATTGCTTGTGTTAAGAGTCATACGTCTATAGACATCGGATACTTACATTTGTCAGTGCTTCAAGCCCTTCTACGTCTGTCAAGTTCTTCAGTTTCTCCTTCTCATTAGAAAGTGATAGTTCCTCGGAGTCCGGAGTTCTTTCGCCATGCCGGTTAACCTGAAATTAATTTATTATCTGTAATTATTTTGTAACGTGGAAATATTAATTATAGTTGAGTGGTATATACCATCTTTCTAATTTTTTACGGATGAAAATGGAGTGGTTACCCCGTCTGCGCTAACGGTATACGCTGGCGGGGCACCAGCGAAAGATGAAAAGGCAGGTCAGTTAGATTATCGTGATGAATGCACCTGGAATTCAGTACGATGGTTTTTAGAGGGGACCACGTGGAGATTTGATAAGGCATATTGCTAGCAATGGGGCTGGTATCCCTTCCTCGCAAGGCGGTGGTGGGTGTGAAGATAAACGACAAAATACAGTGAGTTCCTAAAGTCCCTATCTAAAGTTACACTTAGAATATCACTAAGCCTAACTGCGGTTGCCTACCCACCTGCCAAGCGTGGCAACTACATACAAAACCTCCCTTATAGGGGGAAAGGGATTGTTAGTAATGGAGTTTGACAGCCCCATTGCTAGCAATATGCACTGTTAGGTCGACCTTCGCGTGGTTCCCCTTGGAAACCATCGTGAACAATTCTTGTTGAATTCGTCATGATGGGGTAATTGACCTGCTTCATCATCACCTATCATCCTTTACTGGTGCTCCGCCAGCGTATCCCGTTAGCGCGTATCCGGTTACCATTCCATTTTCACCTACCAAAAAAAAAATTCTAACCTAATTCCTAACTGTTGTTTCACAAGTTCAGTATAAAATTGTCATTGGAGATAGATCGAAAATGTACTCTTGTATGAGACCCTATTCGATTTGTTTCGCAGTCAGGTAATTATTGGTTATTTTTTATCGTAATATTTGCTTATTTTCAAATGACCAGAGGGAGACTTTGTACAAAAGTCGATTGCTTGGGTACCTCTGTCCCATTCATGTTTCAATCGTGAAGCAGTTGTGTTTGCATGGCTGTGTTTCGGTTTGAAGCGTGGGATATGGCGTGAATTTACTGGGTACAGAGGAATAACACCTGAGTCCTCAGGAATGGCAACGCATGGGGGGGTATCATGGGCGAAACAATATACTCTGTTATGTCCATGGTACTGCTCATGTTTATAGGCGACGGTTACCACTATCCATTAGGTGGGCCGTCAGCTTGTTTGCCATTCTAAGTTGTATAAAAAAAAACCTATCATCCTTCACTGGTGCCCCGCCGATGTATACCGATGGCGTGGGTGGGGTTGTGATGGTCCCCCCCTTTGTGCACCCCTTATAATAATACCCTCTAAACTAACCTACACATGGAAAACCTACAAAGCCTAAGAAAAGCCTACGAAGGCTTTACCTAATGAAATCCCATGAAAATCTAATGAAAACCTACCCTAAAGAATGACCTAACGTCCTCAATATAATCCCATACCTATATTGCCTTATACACCCCAAACATCCTATGAATCATATAAACCCTTACAATAAACACTTAATATTGAACAGATCTTATAGTAGAACACTTGATCATCTGGCCAGATAAATAAATGTGTGATCGTCTAGTAATGTAGGACCTGTTGTGTGTGTAATAACCAAAAGGTTCTTTAATTGGTATATGACAGGAGTTAAATTATGAAGATGATTGATAAATCTTTAAGAATTAAGAATAATTAATGAATTATACTCATAATTCATGTAACTAGGAAGTTATGTTAATTTAATAGTAAATTACAGAACAACTGTAATAATAAAAAAATGGGGAGCGGTCGGGCCCCTCACACGCCCGGACCAGTGGAAGACTTTCCAACTATCTATAACTCTTCCTCCAAAAAGGTAGGGAAGGGTATTACTATTTATTAATGCACTCTGATGGTAATAAGGGAATGAGTATTCTCAGTTCCAAACCAAACATAAGTACATTTACTTCAACATTACAGTGGCTCCACCAACCCCACGATGCTTCCAGTATAAATTGGTGTTTGCCAGAGGCAAAAGGATCGGAACTGAAATCCCAGGATCACTCCGACACGAGAGCTTACTCATGGGCGATGACCCTTTCAGTCCTATATGGCGACATAGAGATCACCCACTAACAGTACGAAACTGTTTCCCAGCGTCACCCTGTTACGAGCTTACTCAATGGGGGTTTCCCTTCGGCTCCACAAGAGATCAGACCAAGAAGCGAGATCACCCAGACACCAGAACTTACTTTGTTGGGACATAACCCTTCGGCCCTATAATGTGACATTAGAGATCACCTGTGAAGACAGTCCGATAGAGATGAAGATTTGTGTGATAGGGGATACCTTCCACACCCTGGAATTGGCCAAGCCATATAATGTTGATAATTGCTATATCATAACATAGCATTGTCAATTTAATATTATTTACTTAATACCAAGAATACTCAAGGTTCAAGTTAAATCTGTTGATTAGGCCGGAGCCTAAGAACGAGTAGTCTAACCCATAGGTCGAGAGCTACTAAAAGTAATGAGTGCTATTGAATGAACTATAAGTCCAGTCAATTATATATAATATTATTGTTGATTAACCACATTGTGAATTAACCAATTATTTATTCAGAGAGATATATCTAAAGGAACTATAAGTCCTTTAAAAGACACTGATTAATCACAAGTTAACAACGTCTCGTGAAATAACCAGTTGGGTTTTCTATAAGTTTGAGGACACTAAGTCCAACAAGCTATTATTGTGTTGAGAGTAATAGAGATCTTTTGTAATATTTGTAGAGGTTTGATTAATCACATTGTGAAATAATCAGATTAAATAATTATGTAGCTTTATAGAGAGGACTATAAGTCCTAATTGGTTGTTGTCATAAGTACTGATAAACTACACATTAAAGTGCCAGGTCAATTATTATATATAGGTATATAGGAAGGACAATAAGTTCTATTTGTGTATGTTGTAGTAGTAGAGGTAATATATTGCATAATTATAATGTGAAAGATATAGATTAAATATATATTTGTATAGAAAGGACAGTAAGTCCCATACAATTTTTGTAGCTGTACTATAGTTATACTATATCTACTACCTTTTAGTGTCTTAGTAAACCTATTTACTAAGAGGATTTCTCAGATAAACAAGTGTTTTAGTGTTTAAATCATCATGATTAAATCCCTAAGAAATTAGGTCTTTAAATAATTATCATATCATTTAAGTGAAATTTCTCATATAAATAATTCCAATATTTCTCCTACAGTTATTATAAAATAACAGAAAATTATATAAATTTTCTATAGACTTAGATATAGAATCATAACGTGTATAATCTCCTTTTGTTTGACATCTGTCACATTAATGACGTATTGAATGACGTATTGATGTATTGAATTGAATTTTGATTATCTATCACAACTGTCAACGTAACAAATACTAGCAAGTTTGTTTATTTGTATTTGTTTAATATAATTAAATATAAAATCATCATATATCAACCGTAATATACAACTAAATTATCAGTGACATAAATAATCATGGTTTACACCAGAAATAATTAATAGTATCCAGTAATGCTGCAGTTTTATATTCATATCAGTAGCCAAGCTTACTTTCAAATTCAAGAATGAACAGAAGATTAGAAGTTTAACATTCTTATTGCAATTGTACTTGCAATAATATATACATACAGTACTAATTATCAAGAACATTCCTCAAATACATGTGTGGTGAAGATTTTCCCAATATGCTATCTATTTGATTTCTAACCTCTAATGTAAATTTATTAAAGAAGTGAATAATCAGTGTTAGTGTTTGCTTTATTAATATTTAAAGTAATTGTCCTAACTTGATATTAATAGGTTCATATCTCCTTGGATACAGCCCAATATATACAACTAACTCGATAATGAAATTTATAAAATACTAATATTATATTTTACTACTTGTATATCTCCATTCTATTCCCATAAATATTCAAAATATGTATATTAAATATAAATCCAATAAAGTTTCACTAATATTAACCCTGTCTGAACTTGTCTAGTCAATATAGCATGAACAAACAACACACATACAAACCTTATCGCCATGACAACTTTCCTCCTAAATATGAGTAAAATACATAACTCATACTTGTCATTTAGTACTAATTTTATACTGTACCTCATACTTAGTTAAGAATAACTATAGTCAGAGAATCCTTTAGTACATTTATTACCATTAGGAAATAAATCCACACCCATAATATCAGCATAATTAAATATTATTAGAAACCAGTAATACATACAGAATTGTTATTATCAGCTTGCTTACTACAATAAAATCAATATTAAAGTTTATAATAAATCAAGACAAATTATCTATTTACACAATACAGGCTTGTTTACCATAAACACCCCACAGTCACATGAATTTATCTAGTAACACAATTAATAATGTATTAAAAGTATTACATTCACATAATATCACTTGCAACAGTTAAGCTGTCTCTTTGTACATCTGGTGTAAAACAAATCCCCACATGTAGTCATGGATAATCAAATATAGACTAAGAATCATTAATCTGGTCGACCGAGTAATGGTATAAAAACACTTCACCATGAAGCATTAAGTATGAACAGATATCCCAAACCAACACTGTAATAGTGTAATAAATACAAATATTTCATCATCATCGTCGTCTCAACCATCACCAATCCACGACTGAACACAGGCAATTTCCACCGACTGACACAAGGAACGGCCCCACAATACACATAAAACAGTCACTCCAAACAATGGAGGTAGCCCACACCGCACTTGCATTTACAGGGTCGCCACTCAATAACCCCTCTCTCTCATCAATGGCTGTTTCCCCAGCAATGAGACCAGACCATAGTCACTTTAGTCTATTATCCTCAATAAATAAATACTTTATAATAACTAGATATGAAACTAGTTCAATAGTTGATTCAATAAGTATTTTCCAAACTGGACAATTAGAACATTGAATCAAATTGATGAAGTTCTATCAAACGACCATATAATTGGATTTTTTATATGAGTAGAATAACGTAAGTACGTAAATTATATTGATGTAAACTTTGTTCAAATGTGA